TCTCGGAGGGATAAGTACAGTCGCGCGCGGACGTTTTTGTGTGAAAGGGAATTTAAATGATAGGTCGTGTACTTTTAAGATAGATACGGGCTCGGACGTGTCGGTGTTAAGCGCCAGAAGCGGCAGGAACCGATAATTTCTTACAATTTGTGGTATCTTGCGGGAGAAAAGATGTCTGTAATTTCTCATGTTTTCGCCACAGTTGATTTACCGTTCTATGTTGCGGAAATTAGCGACGAATGCATTCTTGGAGAGAATTTTCTCCCCAAAACCGTAATTTTCGACGGTTTCTTGAAAACGCCTTCGGCGTTTGAGAGACGAAGTAATGGAGGAGAGTATGATGATTTATTCTCGGATAGAGAATTGCCCTGCTAAGCTCCCTGTTTCACTTCCCTGAATTTTCGAGGAAAGTTCTCGGAATCTGAATACTCCTGAAAAACAGATTTTCTCTGGTTTTTTACTGAAATTTGTAGATATATTCTCTGAAAATATTGTTGCCGAAAATTGTAATATTTTGTGTCATAACATAAAATTGTGTGATTCTCGTTCTATTAAGCAGGTACCTCGCTGAATTCTTCTGCATTTGTGATTCGAAGTAAATAAAATTTTGGAGGAGATGAAATCTCAAGAGGTAATAGAGGAGTCTAACAGTCCTTGGACTCCTCCAGCAGTTTTAGTAAAAAAAAAAAAAACAATATATAAGATTTACGGAATTATATATAAGGTGTAGTAAAAAGAAATCCATTATTTTTCCAATAGATGGCTTTAGTAATGTATATCTCGCGTTGTATAAGTGCGATCGGTTTACGCTAGATGGCGTTAGAAAGATAAGATTTCGTACTAAAAAAAACTTCTCAGACAGTTTTGTAATTGTTTGACTCAGTATTGTTTGAGCGCGCGTCAAAGATGGACACCATCAAAGAGAAAATACGCCATATTTTATAGTTTTTCTTCGATAAAGGCGAAAATGCAAGTCAGGCGGCTGAAAATGTGAATAGTGTTTATGGTCCTGATACTGTAACAGCCAATTACGCGCAATTTTGGTTTCGTCGATTCCGATCCGGTAATTTTGATGTCAAAGATGCACCACGCTCTGGAAGGCCAATTGTCGAAAATGTCGATAAAATAATTGAAATCGTCGAGTCCGACCGTCATGTAAGCACTGTTTCGATTGCCCAGGAGCTATACATTGCATAAAAAATCGTTTGGAATCACTTGAATAAGGCTGGATACAAAAAGAAGCTCGATGTATACTAGATTTGAGGCTTTCACGGCCATTGACACAATGTCTAGGTATAGCTTCCGGAATGGAGCCGTGTCTTGAATCAGCGATATGCCGACGTTTCGCAAACGTTGCAGTTTGCATCATCAGGGCTGAGAACTCTGATACTGAGCTCCCTTGGGTAAAGGTAGTCCTTATATGCCCCCCTCCCCCCCCTTGGGTAGATGGTGTTTAGGGAGTAGGGGACGAGGCTTGAATCCAGCCAATCAGCGTATTTTAATTGATCAGCTGGTCAATTAAAAAACCGGGAGGGCAGTATGCCAAATAGAGTTTACTTGCATACCTTTGTCTCGGTTGAGGTTGTTGGGATGTTTCAAAATTTCTAGACCTTCACGATGTTTTCTGGCAAAATAACTCTGTGAGGGAGCCAATCTGGTGGCTTTTTCATATTGTACGGAGTGTCCAGTCTCCATCCAGTGTTCAGCTAGGGCTGATTGAGTAAAGTGACCATACTTGGTACATCGCTGGTGTTCCTTGATTCGCGTACTGATCTTCCTCCCGGTTTCTCCTATATAAACTTTACCACAAGAGCAAGGGATCTTATATACACCTGATGTTTCTAGGCATGATTTCTGATCCTTCGGATTTGGGAGTAAATGGGAGAACTTCCTATGAGGTTTGAAGATTACTTTGATTTTGTGCTTACCCAAAATT